CGTTGGAATGTTAACTGGTAAGCTCCCTCTAAGATCTACATGAATTTTTGTTGCATTCTAATTTTGCTACCTTCTTAAAAATATTTTCCCCAATATGCGTTCTGGTTCTTCCTTTTGTTTAAAAAATTGATTGTTCTCTCTATGGAAAAAAATGTTCTCTGTTGATTGTCCTAGTTGATTTCGGTGTTTCAATAAAAAAAAATTCTTAGACATTTCAATGAATGCATTTCTGATATCATGTTATAGTTGTTGTGTCTACTATGCTGCAAAGCATATACCGAGGGCTGCCCTCTGATCATGATGTAATGGAAAAAATAATGTGTATATTCTTAATTGATAGAAGACATGCCCCCTTCCCTTCCCTGCTGTTATAGTGATTGATTTCTCTGGTCGTTATCCTCAAATTAAGGACCAATTGTTTCTCTAGATTGATTATCTTTCTAGCCTGGACAGGTAACTCAAGGAAGGTGTGGAAACACGTGAACTTGAAAATGTCTTTCATTTCTACTATTTGTCTAATATATTCCCAAGAACTCCTTACTGAGAATTTTAAATTTTTCATTTGACTCTTAACATCCATTTTGCTCGATCTAAGTTATTGTTATCTACTGGGTGAGGATTATTTTTTATCACATGTTTGACGTACTTACTGAGAATTCCTTACTGAGAATTTTTCATTTGACTCTTAACATCCATTTCGCTTGATCTAAGTTATTGTTATCTATTGGGTGAGGATTATTTTTTATCACATGTTTGACATACTTCTCAAGAGACAGTTTCTCAGACTTCGAATATTCTATCCTTCTGCATCAACAAACCTCTTAACCTCAATCTCCTTTTCCTCAATATCTGGAAGAATATGATATAAAGCTCCCAAACGAGTCAAGTTATCATACCAAAAGTTGGAAATTCCCTGTCCCATTTGCCACCAAATGTGAATCTCTAACAAAAATCATTATCTTCCAGATTGTGGAGGCACCTCTACAATTTGCAATTACTGGGTGACTTTTTGCAGTATTTGTTGATCATAAAAGAACTCCAAAGAGAAGGTTTACTTCTTACATTCCACCTTAGTTTGCAAAATATTGTATTTGAAACATCAAAAAGTGATCTGAACCCTACTCCACCTTCCTCCTTTGGCAAACACTTGTTTTCCTAGCTCACTCAGTGTCTTATTTTCGTTGTATTTGTATTTCTCCAAAATAACCTAGCAAACATCTTATGTAAATGCCTTATCACTCCTATGAGAGGGTTTAAAACTTATAACACATGAATAGACATGCTTTGGAGAACCATGTTTTATCAACACAACCCTCTCACCATAAGATATCATTTTTCCTTTCCATGACTGGATCCTGTTACCTACTTTCTTGATCATATTATCATAGTAGCATATTTAATTTTCATCATAAAATATAGGGCAACCAAGATAAGTAAAAGGAAATGAACCTTGCTTGATTCACAGTCTTTCAATATTCTGATCATTACTTTCATAGATTTCTTGTCTGCATAGGAAAATAACATGGTATCATCTACATATGCAAAATGGTTGATAGTTGTACTCCATTTAGGAACCCCAAACCCCTTGAATCCCTCTAGCTCATTTAAAGGCATTCGACCCTCTTGAAAGGGTCTCTACTGCAATAATGAAGAGGGTTGGTGAAAAAGGATCTCCTTGCTTTATTCCCCAGGTAGATTTAAAAAAACCTTGAGCTTAACCGTTTAACCAGACTAAGTACTAGTTATATGCTAGTAACCTGTACACAATGTACCTCTTCATATAAATCAAATTTCCTAAAAACTTTAGTAATGAAAAGACAAGATAGCCTGTCATAGGCCTTAGTCATATGAATCTTTATTACTTAGTTTGTAGATTTGGTTCTTATTTTGATATCCCTTATAATTTCCTGTGCCAATAATACATTTTCCATAATACTCATACCCTTCACAAAGCTAGTTTGATTTTTAGAAATCAACAAGGGAAGTAATGTAACTAACCTACCATGTACTACTCTAGAGAACACCTTGTTGATGAAGTTGCTTAAACTGATAGGTCTTACATCTGAAAATGTATTAACTTGATCTTTCTTGGAGAGCAACTCCAAATTTTTTTGAGTTACAAATCTTGGCAAAGTTTCTCCTCTAAAGAAATGTTGCACCACTGCTATAACATCACCCTTTATAATATCCCAACAAGACTGGTAAAAGACCTCTGTAAACCCATCAGGCTCACTATCACTCTCCCTTTTAAAAGCATGAACAACAACCTTTACCTCCTTCTCTTCTTTTTCTTTAAAAGTTCAGTTTAGGCCATAGTGATCTTTGTTGAAGTATTCTTTGAGATGACAAAATTATCAGAAAAACAATCTTCAGTGAATTGTTTCTCAAGAAACTGCATTACTTTAGTGGCCATCCCATTGCTCTCTTCAATCCAATCATCAGTATCATTTTTAATTTGGTTTAGTTGCAACCTCCTCCTTCAGCCATTGACATAAACATGATAAAATTTAGTGTTCCTTTACCCATCAACAAACCAACTCATCCCATCTTTCTGTCTCTAGTACTCTTTTTCTAGGTAAAGATAAATGGAAAGGTCTGTATGTGCCTTGTGTAACTCTGCCTGTTCCCTATGAGGAATCCAATTCAAATTGCATTTCTTGAGTTTTAATCACCTCCTTTAAAGTAGCAACTTTTTGGAAAATACTACCATAGACCTCTTTGCTCCACTAAACTAAAACGTGCTTAATATTTTTTAGTTTATGATGAAAAATTAGCATAGGGTTTCCCATAAGATCAGTCCCTAATGTGTCTTCACCAATTATAAAAAATCAGTACGCTTAGTCCAGAAGTTCATGAACTTACAAGGTTTGATCATAACCTCTTGAGTTTTGTGAGAACCATAATTCTAAAGGAGCATGATCATACCATCTTTTAATCAGGTGTTTGGCGTAAATAACAAGGAACTCATCCAATAATCTCTGATTTCTTAAAGCTCTATCTAGCCGTATGAAAATACAAGCTTCATCAGTCCTCCCATTCACCAAGTATAGGCAATGCGACTGAAACCTAAACTAAAAAAAACCACACTACGTTATGCAATTAGCAAAATCTTCGGTTTCTTGGTAGAAAATTGGGATACCCCAAGCTTTTCTTCCCAAGATAGAATTACATTAAAATCTCCTTCCACCATCCAAGGGATAGGATGATGATCGGCATGATTCCGTAAAGATTCCCAAAGCTTCTTCATGATTCCTACTTGACATGAAACATATACCACTGTGAAGAGAAAACCCTCATCCCAAGCTTGCTGTTGAATCTTGATGGTCAGATTTTGTGTTGTAGCTGCTATTATGGTAAAAACCAAATCTATCCAGAAACATTTGCCATAGCAACCTAATGCCCCAATCTCCTCCTATAAATATCAATGTTTGATGGATCTTCAAAAGGCTCCATCAATCCTATTAATCAATACCGATTTCTTCTATTTAGATTAGTCAACTTCTCAAAATTTTGGTGAGTATTAACTGATCTAATGTTCCAAAAGATTATATTAGTCACCATAGATGAACTTTTCGTGAAGCATTCCTCTTTGATGAAAGTCGAATTGGAGTTTCAGATTTCTTATCACATTTTCAATCTTTTTGCTTGTTGTTATTTCCCTTTATCTTATCTACCTGCTTGGGTGATAAATCACCAACCTTTGCAATTAGATTAATGTTATTATTCAATGACTCAATTGTGGCATCAACTGTTATATCCTCATCATGGACTTCATTAAACTTAATGGTATCTATGTTAACCGGGGATAGAAATGTGTGTAAGCATTAACTTCCTTGAACTCCATTTTATTATTTCCTCCTTGTGCACTACTGATTCCAGTATTAACCACAATGTTTTGTTTATTTATTATTTTCCGCTTTTAGATGACAAATGATACCTGACCATTAACATCTTCTTCTTCGTTGTTTTCACCTACACAAGCTTTCTCTGATTTTTGTTCACTAGGCTCTTCTATATCCTAATCGCCCACCCCTTCATTAGAGCATATATCTTCCCCCTTTGAACTACATCCTATTTTTTTGGCCACTCTCATCTTCCTCACTTTTGGTGTATTCCCCGCCTTTCACTTTATCTAAATTGTTGTTATCTTTAACAATATTTTCGTCATTCTTCATAGTGATTTGTTTATCAATTGTGTTCTTTGTAGCTTTTATTTGTTCCCTCTCCTCAACCGTATGTTGAGTATTCCCTGAGCTATCATTTTAGAATTATTTTGTATTTGTGTTCTTGTAATTTGAGCCATTAAATTAGTTGCAATAACTTCAGTATTCCATGTGTTATTTTCCGTTATCTGCTGATCTTTTCAATGTTGCCTGCAATTGTGATCACTGTATTATTTTGTGATTTTTCACCTTGATTTTGATTGTTCCCCACATTATTTCCACTGGTCTTGTCAAACAAAGTTTCAATCCAAGCTTTGCAAGATTGATGTTATCCTATAGGTTGACTTTGAGTAAGATTTGTGTTCACCTGATCATTCTCATTATTCTCTAGGGTAGAAAAAGAGTTTCATGTCTGAATCTCTTTGACATTGTTTTTGCTCTTCTCTTATTGAGGTTTCATGTCTTTGTTAGGAGTTAAAACACACATATCTTTTGTGGCATTCCATATCTTCTTTGTGTCATTTCTTTGTTTTCGTTCTTTTCCCTTGTATGGAATTTCTTTCTCTTTATTTTCCATGTCTGGAACATGTTCCCTTGATATTAAGGTCCAATGACCTTTCCGCTGGCCAAAGTTCTTTGACCCATTTGTTATTTGTATCCACCATTGTGTCTTCTTCTTTTTGACTTTTCAATTCTGGGTGGATTACAAAACAATCTTATTCCTTATGTCCTTGAAGTTTGCAAGTTTTGTAATACTTCGACATAAAATCATAGCGTATCGTAAACCACGTTGACATGATTTCCCAAGAACTGGTCTTCTTTACCCCCCACACTAAAAAGAGTTTGGACCATTTCTCGATTTGTGCATGTCATTCTTGCGCAGGGTCCATGCTAATATTTTCTGTATCTTTCCAATTTTATCGGATGTCCCCGAAGGGAAAAGTTTCATAAAATGCTGAAAAGTTATATTACATATACTATTCTGTCATTCATTCTCTCAATAACTCCAAAACACGAAGAGTCTCTCCGGTCTTACATGAATTTTGAAAACAATGAGGAAACATTATATTTTGGTTTTACTTTATTGCTTCATTCCATTTGGATTCCCGATCTTTATAGTTAGACTTTTTGCTATTGCTTCATCTAGTCACTATTTAGTTCCTCATTTGACATTATACATTTGCTTTGCAAGCTGAGTCGATCTATGATTCTTACTAGAGGTACCTAATATTTTGGTACTCATGGTACGCTCTGCATCACTTTTTCTTGATGCAGATACGAGCGCCAGTTGACAACATTGATTCACGTGGACTTCCGAAGATGGAGGGTGAGCTAATGATGTCCTTGTTTGACTCAGTTGTTATAACCCTCTAGGTCATTCTTATGTTTATGTCTTCTGTTAATCATTTAGAGCATTTCTATAGCGACCCCAAGTCTTTTATGATTTGCTGGGACCGACAGTTCTTCACTGATCGTTCATTTGCTACTTATACAAATTTATATGTTTTGGAGCTATCGAACCTTTAATGGTCATTTTTTATTTGAAGTTCAAGAAGATGAACTCAAAATCTAATTTTGACGATTCCATCAACTCCGAAAGAGTCATTTTGGGCTGCTGGCATAGTTGACACGACTCCCAATGTCACTCCCCGAGCTACCCTCGAGACGCAGACACGAGACCTAGGACCACAAGTGATCCCAAACTAACCCTGCTGGCATGATCATGAGCATACTAAATATAAACTGAATAGTAGAAACAGTGCGGAAGCTATAATCATAAACAAAATGAAAAGATGGGAATACCCATATACTATAACTGAGATATATGAAAACTGATGAGTTTAATACAAAGAAGATATTAACTCAATATTAAGCTGAATCTATCTATGTCTGAAAATAGCCTCTAACTAACTAGAAATGCTGGGACAGGCCTCAGCTAAATCTAGCAAAACTGAAACTAAAGGACTAAAAATACTGAAAAGAAACTCATGACTATTGTCCTCGGAGAATAAGGACTCACCACTGATTCTACTGAACTGGAGATCGGGAACCGATCTAAGCGTGATCTGGATGCTGAGAACTTGAACCTACATGATGAGAAGATGTAGCGCAGACTGCAGAGTATGCGTCAGTATTTGAAAGGTACTGAGCATGTAAGATAGAACATAACTGAAATAACATATAACTGAACAAAGCAAATAAGCAATGATATAATCTTAACATGATATAGATACTGAATGCTGAGAAAACTGAATGCAGTGACCAATTTATAACATGCTAAAATTGAATACTGATAAATGGTCAATACAATAGAATCTGACTGAACTGTGGGAGATACTAATAATCGATAATAAAATCAAATGAGCTAAATGTGGAGTCCGATGTATACGCCCCATCGAGAGGACCCAATATACCCGGCCAGAGATATAAAGGCATGCTTGCGTGATCACTGAAATGATGCCCACAGAGGGGACTTACAACCTACGTGGCTAGTATTTCTGGGACTATTTGGGTACGCTAAACCCTAGTCCAACTCGGTATTATGCTACTTCCAATGGATTAAGTAATTAACACATTATGACTGAATTTCTGTAAGTTACTGGATAGCTTAAATGAACATGCAAACTGAGAATGCAACAATTAAACTGATATTGATGCATTAATAACTGAGGCATGTATAACTGAATAACTGAAATAGCTGACCTAGCATGTGTAATTCAAGAACTAAAGAAACACATAGCTAGGGTTCTGAAATTCATGCAATAAACTGAATATTAAAATACTAATCTGATTTGGATCATTCTAACAGCTAAGAACCCAATAATTCTAACATTCGAAAAACCCTAGGTCTAGTCATAATAAGGGAATCAAGAAACTGATTGAAAACTAGGGACCTAATTGGTGAAAGGAACCCACTAGTGAAATCCCACATACATGGTGACGAATTCCATGGAGAAATCCTTTGATTTCTGGGCTGGAACTGAAGAAAACTTGTTGCATTCTTGGAGTTACGGTTCTTGACTTCTCTTCTCCTCTTACGCTCTTAATTTCTATGTTATGATTAATGACTTGACTTAGGTAAGTTCTAGTTATGTTTCTAGGCTTAAACTGACTAAAACCTCATGATTTAGGGTCTAAACGAAGTATCTTAGGGGTCCAAGGAAATAGGAAAAGACCAAAAGACCTCTGAATTAATTGCTGTCGGAGTGATCAACGGACGGGACCTAGCGGCCGTAGGTCAATCTACGGTCCGTAGATTGAGGTCGTAGGTCAAGTCTACCCGATAGGGCTTCATTAAAACGAGCATAACTTTTTACTCGGAACTCAGATTTTAGCAAACTCGGTGGCGTTGGAAAGATGATTCAATTATCTATGATATCATAGGTCATGGGATACCTAATTCATTTTGTATTAAGAGTTATGACCATTTTAAGTTGACGCAATCAATAATTTTCCTCTAACTGGCTGCTGACCCTTATCTACGGTCAGACCTACGGACCGTGCATCAAACGATTGTCCGTGCTGGTCGACCGTAGTTCATGTCAGAGGCTGGGTAAATGAGTCTTGATCCACGGACACAGACCATATATTGTGGTTTGACCTACGGATCGTATCTCTGTTTGTGGGCCGAGACATAGCCGATTTATGAACTGCATTTTTTTTGGGGAGGGGGGGCTGCAGTGGTGAACCATGTACCCACAACACGGGCCGTAGATCAGACTACGATTCATAGGTGGCGACTGTAGGTTGCACCTGCAACTTCTAAAAATCTGCATTTTGGTCTATCTAGGATACGAGGTGTTACATTATCTTCCCTTGAGAACATTCGTCCTCGAATGAAAACTAAACTAGCTGAAATAGAGTGAAAGGGCTGCAATCCCTACCACTAAACACTGATAACTGAATTTCTGACTGAACTGACTTCCAAGAACATGCAAATACGCTGAAAATACAAGTACAAACTGAATGAACATGATTCTAAGACTGAATTTATGCGTGAATGATTGAAAAACTGAAGAGCAACTATTACCTCAAGTTGGAGTAGAATCGGAAGGAAAGAGGTGAGAATACTTGGCCTTCATGGCTACTTCTGCTTCCCAAGTAGCTCCCTTTACGGACTAACTCTTCCACAAAACCTTGACTTAAGCGACTTCTTTATTTCTCAACCTTCTAACTTGACGATCGAGAATCTCAACTCGTACATCCTCATAAGAAAGGCTATCTTTTACAGCAACAGTCTCTAATGGCACCACGGATGCTGGATCATCCACACACTTCTTCAAAAGTGAAATGTGAAAGACTGGATGCACTGCTGCTAAATCTGCTTGAAACTCTAACTCATAAGCCACTTCACCAATTTTTTTCAAGATCCGGTAAGGGCCTACATATCTGGGACTGAGCTTCCCTTTCTTGCCAAATCTCATCACCCTCTTCATAGGTGACACTTTCAGGAAAACCCAATCATCAACTTGGAACTCTAGTTCCCTTCTTGTCACATCTGCATAAGACTTCAGGCCACTCTGGGCAGTCTTAAATCTATCTCTAATGAGTTGCAGTTTCTCCATAACATCAAGGACTGAATCTGGTCCTATCAAGGCTGCTTCACCTGCTTCAAGCCAACCAACTGGAGATCTACATCTACACCCATACAATGCCTCATAAGGGGCCATCTGAATGTTGGAATGGTAACTATTGTTGCAGGCGAACTCAATAAGAGGAAGGTGATCATCCCAACTACCCTTGAAGTCGATCACACAAGCTCTCAACATGTCCTCTAAGGTCTGAATGGTACGCTTTGCCTGACCATCCGTCTGTGGATGAAAGGTTGTGCTAAGGTTAACCTGAGTACCAAGACCCTTCTGAAATGACTTCTAGAAATAAGAGGTAAACTAAGGACCTCTATCCGAGATGATAGACAAAGGAACCCCATGCAACCTCACAATCTCATTAATGTAAAGCTTGGAGTAATCCTCCGCCGAATCTATAGTCCTGACCGCCAAAAATTGAGAAGACTTAGTAGCCCTATCAACATTCACCCAAATGGAGTCATGCTGTCTGTGAGTACGAGGTAAACCTATGATAAAGTCCATGTTGATCACTTCCCACTCCCAAATAGGAATGTCAATCTCTTGAGTCATGCCTCCTGGTTTCTGATGTTCTACCTTGACTTGCTGGCAATTGGGGAACTTAGCCACAAAGTTTGCTATATCTCTTTTCATACCATTCCACCAATAGACTTCCCGCAGATCGTGGTACATCTTAGTGGCGCCTGGATGGATACAATATCTAGAGTTATGGGCCTCTGCAAGAATATGTTGTCTCAAATCGTCCACATTAGGAACACATAATCGACCCTAGTAGCGAAGCACACCATCTCCCCCGGGAGAAAACCTCCACTCTTTGATTATGGACTGCACCCTTAAGCTCAAGCAAGATTGGATCACTGTCTTGCTTTTCCTTAACCTCTACTACCAAAGAAGATTCTGCCCCATTTTGAACCATTACACCACCATCTGATATGCTTATAAGACGAACTTCTAGGCGAGCAAGTCTGTGAACATCCTTTGCTAGCTCTCTTCTTTCTTCCTTAACATGTGCTACACTACCCATGTATAATCTTCTAAGAGCATCTGCTACTACAGTCACCTTACTCGGATGGTAATGCACGCTCATATCATAATCTTTGAGGAGCTCAAGCCACCTTCTCTGGCGAAGATTCAACTCTTTCTGGGAGAATACGCACTGAAGGCTCTTTGGTCTGTGAACACATCTACATGAACACCATACAAGTAGTGTCTCTAAATCTTGAGTCCAAACACCACTGCTGCAAGCTCGAGGTCATGAGTCGGATAATTCTTCTCATGCACCTTAAGCTGTCTGGAAGCATAAGCTATAACCTTACCTCGCTGCATCAACACACAACCTAGGCCGACCCTGGAT